CCCCTCGATTAAAACATAATGCGACGGTTGTTTCATTTCGACCACGTTTTTGTTGACATTACCTACGAGATAAAATATGTAAACGACCACATAGGACGGTGTTTGCTCCGAGATCGTCGACAGTTTGTGGGCTCGTTGGAACAACCATGGTCCCGCGGGAAGAAGCCTGATACTAATGGCGTCGTGTCGCAAGATCTCGGTGTCTGCGTTTCTCCTAATAATCTTATCGTTGAACTTCGATCTTAACGAATAGTTTCCACCGTCTTGTTAACGCTAGATTTACGGAACCCGTCTTACAAAATAATTTCCCAACTGTCCCCCGTCCGGGATCTCGTTTAACAGATCTTTCGAATTCTTCGCTTGGACGCGAATCAAGGCTGATAAACTATCGAGTAATTTGAGATCGGAAAGATTAATAACGTCGAGCCCTGATGCAATCCGATCGACGAAGATTTCAACGCACGGGACGAGCGACCCGGGCCCGCATGGACGCTGAAAAATTTGAATACCCAGACGGCTTTCCATTAAATTGAATCGAAGAACGGTTTTCCCTCCGATGGCGGGCTTTAATCTTGTCAGCGAGAGGAAGATTACGGGTTTCGCGGTACATAACGGATGGGTTCGCCTCTAGTTTTTTACCGCGTTGAACAAGCTTTATGCGTCCATTTAACGCCGTCGCTGCGGCGAGACACGCGGGTGGTTCGAGGGACTAGGGCGTCGCGACGATAAATTCCTGGACGCTTTTATACTGCCTACCGTACAGGCTGGAACGACTCCCCGACACCGAGAAAAAGCCACTGCGCGGCAAGTCTCGTTTCCCCTCTGCGAAATCGTGTTTCAAAGGCCCCAGGTAACCCCGGGTTCACGGCTCGTGTCGTTAAACTTTATGCTAAACGTTCCGGACTTATTGTCCGTGGATGCGTTTCAAACGTCTGGCCATCTTTCGCGTAATACGCGGGAGTCTCCTCGGCGATCGTGCGATTAAATAAACTGGTCACGACGTGGACTCGTTTATTTCACGCACAGTCTCTGGTATTTCTCTAATATTATCGTCAACACTCCCGCCACTTTGATCCAGAACGGGGCAGTGCCATAGAAATTTCGTCAGTCTTCGAAGTTTGCGCTGGGGGGATAAATATCACGGGACAATTATGGCAGCGAAGGCCAACGGGAGTTTTGCAATTGTCGCGGTTGGAATTTCGGAAAGCGACCGCATTCTGAGCGTAACGCGTAAACGCGCGAAGACCCGTTTAATTTTCTGCGTTTCTACAAATATCCGAAATAAATACCTAATATATTATATCTGAAAAATGAATTTTTAACAAAAATAGACGGCAGGTATTTTTCGACAAAATTAAAAAATTTCAAATCGTTCTGAAAAAATTATTGTCGGTTGCAGGGGTCGATCATAATCATTTTTGGTCACTAGACATACCCCCGAAATCCTACCCAGTTTCGAAAAAAAAATTCAAGAAGGTGGACTAATTTTTCGACGAAATTAAAAAATTTCAAATCGTTCTAAAAAAATTATTGTCGGTTGCATGAGTCGATTACAATCATTTTTGGTGAATACACATATCCCCGAAATCCTACCCACTATCGAGAAAAAAATTCTGGAAGGTGGACTAATTTTTCGACGAAATTAAAAAATTTCAAATCGTTCTAAAAAAATTATTGTCGGTTGCATGAGTCGATTACAATCATTTTTGGTGAATACACATATCCCCGAAATCCTACCCGCTATCGAGAAAAAAATTCTGGAAGGTGGACTAATTTTTCGACGAAATTAAAAAATTTCAAATCGTTCTAAAAAAATTATTGTCGGTTGCATGAGTCGATTACAATCATTTTTGGTGAATACACATATCCCCGAAATCCTACCCGCTATCGAGAAAAAAATTCTGGAAGGTGGACTAATTTTTCGACGAAATTAAAAAATTTCAAATCGTTCTGAAAAAATTATTTTCAGTTGCATGAGTCGATTACAATCATTTTTGGTGAACACACATATCCCCGAAATCCTACCCACTATCGAGAAAAAAATTCAGGAAGGTGGACTAATTTTTCGACGAAATTAAAAAATTTCAAATCGTTCTGAAAAAATTATTTTTAGTTGTAGGGGTCGATTACAGTCATTTTTCGTAAATACACATATCCCTGAAATTCTACGCAGCTTCGAGAAAAAAATTCTTTAATGTTGCGAGTGACACGGAAATAGTAATGGGGCTCTGGAGTCCCATAAAAATGGGTCAAAAAATACCGTGCTTGTGTCGGAGACGATCAGGGTCAGCGGTTCCGGAAGTAAATTAATTAATGGCACCAGTTAATTACCAGCCACCATTTGTCTCGGGTCATCAGCGACGAAGAACTTGCATTCTACATAGAACCGTCCGTTTTTAGAGACGGCTTAACAGCTTGGCAAGTTCGCGGAACGGCCTTTCCTGGAAAGAAATTTCATCGACACTAGTTCGCGAGTTAACGATCGTTAGGCACGGTCGACGAAGAAATTTCTGTACACTTGGTACGCGACAAACCGAGTTCGTCGTTGTTAATTCGAACGTTCGTAACGAAATAAGTTCGCAGTCGTAAAAGACGGGAGGAAAGGCTTTCTTGGGCGCGAAATTCACACCGATGAACGGTGTCCGGAGATTGGCAGTGTTAGCCAAAGGCAAATATCAAGATGGAAAGTTGTGCGTCGTAGGACTCGCGAGGACGAGCGTGCGACGAGTGTCAAATCGTTCCCCGAACCAGGATGCATGGAAACCATCGAGACCTGCTCTCATTGGCCGACGGTATATTGATTTTCACGGAAAAAACGGCGAACCGGACTACCCTCGAAAGAGAGTAAACCTTTTGTGTCGCTCGCGTGCTTTCTCGGCTGTAAAATCAACATCGACCGCTCGCAACTAACGGAGTTTCCGCGCGAATTTTACACGTGCTCGACGATGCACCTTTTACGGGGACATTATGGAATCGCGCCGGAGCCATTCGTGCATTCGACGAAAGAAAAATAGAGTTATCGATTCGGCGGGATGGATTTCTTAGCGAAAGTTCGACGCTCCGAATCGATTCGTTTGCGAAAAACGATCGAGCCGCGATACCGGCCGTAATGAATTTTCAAGACGAGTAATCTATTCGACTCGCCTTTCTTCTCCGCCTCGGAGTGCCAGAGGGTCGAGGAGGAAAGAGAGAAGATCGTCGAAGTTTCAGTGCCGAGGTACCGCAGGGCAATTGCTAACTCCTCGGCGGATAGAAAGCCACGCATATTAGTATCTTGCCTTTTTAAAATGGTTTCACCGTTCCTACGAGCCGTTGAAATGGGTTGCAGTCCGCTCTAAAGCAATTAGAATAATCGATTTTACCATTCGGGGCAACGTCTCTCGATCAATCAACGCGGTTAATGTCGATCTCATCCTTTAATCGCTTTAAAACGTTTCGTGTCGAAAAACAATGTTCGAAAATGTACAATGAAATATAATATAAATTACTGTGAAAGTAAATCGAAACAGACGGTCGATACTATCGTCCAGCTGGTTCGATTAAATATTATCGATAGCGGTCTTGAGAGGCCTGTTTCGAACGATCTTCGAGCGGGAAGTCAGCTTTGTTCGCGGTGCGATTTAGCGCGAAACCGTTTGCTATTGTCACGTTCCTTCGAGCGAAAATGCTGATTGAGATTTATGGGACACGAGGGCCTTAGAAAGTAGCGTGCTTGAACGATTGACCGTAACCACATTTCGTTCGCGTAAGTTCAAGACTCCCGCCACAGGCACGGACATTTTAATCTTATTTTTATTCAAATCTCTGATTCATACACAGCTGCGAATATCGCTGATATCACAGTTCGTGTGTTATCAGAACCGTTTCTTTTGTCCCCGGAGAGACGTCGAAACCGAATACATACAATTAACCGAGGCGGAGTGGCCAACGCGTCTAGTTGAAATAAATACCGGTACTGTTACCTCGTCGTACACAAAGGCTTTAAGGATTTATTCGCACTAGCGGTCTAATCGCGTTACGATTCCGGTCGCGGTGCGTTCAGATGTTATCCAACGCCGCGAACCTGTGAAATAACCCATGATCGAACCGTGACCGGACTGCGTTTCCATGTTTCAAAGAAACGAAGATCGATGCGGCACTCCCGCGTAACTGCAATTCCAAATCACCGAAGCGAAATCCCAGTTGCGTCCAACAGGGGAAAGAAACCGACTCGTCAATGAGCTTTTGCGCTGAAACGAGGGTTCTAACACTCTGACCAGTGGTTATGGCTCTGCCAAATGTTTAAGCTTATCAGCTAAATTCAAAACATAACATTCTGTGTTTTAATCTTGTAAATTATTATCAATCTTAACTATCGAGTTTCGTCGTTCCGCAAAGCCCGCTGGTTTTCTTGCGTGGGTGAAATTGTTTGGTTCCCGCGGTTGGAAATATCAGATCTTGCCGATGAATTCTCCCCCTCTTGACAACAGATGCAGGATGAACAGCGAACGGCAAGTTCCAGCGGCCCTATAGAAAAAGAATTGCTTTCTCTTTTGATCATGTTCGTCGACAAGGAGCGAACGAGGAGGCGATGTCCTCGCTCGCAGTCGAAAAAGCATCCAGTGTGACGGGTTACTGTTATTCGAGGCTGCATGCCGTTGCCGTTGTTTGTTCTTCCCGTGTCTTATTTGTACCTGGCCACGCGTGTTCCGCGATACACCACGGAGAACATGTGGCTCCTTCCGCCGTACGCCTAACTGCCCCGTCAACAATGGTCGCGTGCCGCGAACCTATTCGATCGCTCCCGAACTTCTTCGTTTCCCCGACAGAATTTCCGCCGCGAACACCGACTCCACACCATTGTTAAATATTACGTAATCCGTAATTTTTTTAACTTCGTCGTATTATTAACAGAAAGCAAGAGAATTGAAAAAGGGAGATTCAGTACTGAATTATTCGAACATTTAATTATGCACAACGATTCGATAATTAATAATTGTGGAACGTTGCGTTTGTTTCAGCATCGAATACAGTTTGACGACACGGCGACCCGAACCTTCGAGTATCCCAGCGAGGGATCGATGATGGAGGGCGAGAGCAGCGTGGACGACGAAACTTCCGGTTCCGACGAGCAATCAGCTCCGATTAGCAATAAAACGTCCTCGAGCAGCTCGCCGACAAGCATGCCGGCCCTTCTCGGTAATTTTAATCGTTATTTCTCGTTACCACCAGTGTAAATCGCGTATCTTTTTATTCGTTCTCGAACAATAGACGCGAATCTCTCTTATCGATACCTAAAAGATCTAAAAGATACCTTTTCGTCTTGTTTCCGGTCTTTTACAGAGGCAACGATCGCGCAACACGTTCTGTCCCGCGCAAAAACCTATAATCAATTGCAGCTTCTTTTGAACGTCGAGCCTGGCAAAGAGTCGCTGGTGTAGATTAGATGGATCCTAGAAACGCTTTTAATCCTTGCTGCATCCACCGAGTGTCTTGTAGAGTACGTTTACATAGATTCTGGTACCGTTCTGCGGCGACGCTTCCTGCAATCGCCAGCAGAGGGACGCTCGATCCTGGTACCTCTCTCACAAGTACTCGACCGACCATCTATTCCTATGTACACTCTCCTCGATCATTTGTTCCATAATTGTTGCTAAGGGTAAAAATTCATTTGACCTCCAACTGTATACGATATTCCAAAGCTTCAATCGTCGTCGTAGTATGTTCGCATTCGTCTCTTCAAAACGTGATCGTACTTCCGGGGTGCTTTGTGTTGTTGACTTCCTTATTGTCCGGCTAGCATAAACAGGAATCGAAGAACAGTTAACTTTCTTTTCTGTTGATTACGTTTAAATTGAAACTTACCTGTTGAGAAAAGCTTCACGACTGATTCGACTCCTGGCATAGGCAGCGTAGTGTGCTGAAAGCTAGTGCTTGTTCCCCGCAGGTGGTGGCGGCTTGGCCAGTTATACACCCAGCAAGGTGGATTTGACGTCCGGGGGTTTCGAGCTGGGGGTAACGAGAGCCGTGTCCTCGAGTTCGACGCCGACGTCGACGTCGACGACGCCGAGCCAGCCGGAGAACGAGGTCACCGAGGTCGACTATCTGAAACCAGCTCAGGACGCGGGGGCGTGGGGTTCCGAAACTACTGGTGATCTCCTCTACTGACGAGGCCAAAGTCCGAGGGAGGACGCGTGACGCACGCGAGACGCACGCGAGACGCTCAAAACGCGAGGGCTCTTTTAGTAGAGCCATGGGAATCCCGAAGTTCCGTGAACTGAGAAAAGACTAATTTACAAAGTATTCCACTACACTCCCTCATCCTCTTTTTTCGCAAACACGAAAGAACGAGCAAACGGTCCACCGAAGAGACGACCGGAACAATAGTTTCTTCGCTCGGAATAATTCTTTTTTTTTTTTTATAAAAGAACGCATCGTCGCGAGACGCGTTCACGATCGCGGAGGAAGAATCAAAAGCGCGCGGAAATATTTGGTTCGCGAACGCGTCGAGACGGAGGCGTAGTTTTTTCGTAGGTGATTAAACGAAACGGATAAACAGTATCATTCCAAGCATATGCATTTACTTTGTATTACTACGATAACGAAGCGAACAGACTTTCCTGAATAACGTGTAATTTAATACTGCCAAGGTATGTCAGTGCTTTTCTTCCTCTTTTTTCTTTTTTTGTGCGTGTTTTTCGTTTATCCGAGCACTCAAAACGGAGAGCCCCGGTGATCTGTTTCCAGGGCGGAGGGGGGGGAACAAACAGAAAGGACATAAACGAAAGCATATCACCTTTTTGGCGCATTTTTATAACAAACAGAGAGAAGTCGACGATGGAACTGAACGTTTTTGTAACCTTTTTGAGATTACTTTAATGCTAAGCCGTTAACGCATACGCGAGTTGCCAGTCAGAGGTCAGAAATTTATGCAAGATTTTTTTAGAAAAGAATATACAAAAGAAAACAACAAAAAAAAAGAATCACGATCCTGCGTACGGGAAATAATCGATCGAAGAAAAATGAAGTGAACGGAAAAACGGTCGAGTTTAGATTTGTAAAAGTTTTTGCCAAAGTAGAACGTAAGTCTACTTAGTATACTTAATGTATATGTACAATAAGTCAAGGTTTCAGTCCAGGGATAATTGTAACAATTGTAAATTCCAAAAATTCATTATTTATACTGAGAGTATGTTAAAACCATACTAATATTTCTTACGGATGCTCAAGGTTCGTTCATACTTCAGTGTAGATATACATATATATATATGTACGATCTTGGTTCGTCGAGTTTATTTCTCATTTTATTTCTTACATTCGGACGAGGACCAAAATGTAACAAACTATTGTCAACTGTTTCTTTGGTAAACTATATTCGTTCGTTAACGATGAATGTTAATTTTAAGCGAAATCAAATTTTGTACATACTAAATTATTGTCGGCCCCGAAGTTCTTCGTCATGGAGTTGCTTCGTTCAAAGAATTCGATGGAACACGTAAATTCAATTGCTTCGGGGCCGATTCTACGTGTACTTTTGTTTCTTCTTGTTGTCCGTAATTACGTTTGTGGCAGTAACACGCTTCGAAAATTTTCCGATTATTATGTTGAATCGCGTTTAAGAGTATGATTGTGGCAGTATGGGGTAATTCGATTAGGATTTAATCGCGTGATCGCGGACTGATTCAAGGGAAAAACGTGCGATACGATAATAATAATGATTAAGAAGGTGGATTTATACGCCGAACCAATTACTGTGTTCTAATTTCCGTCGCTGTATTTAGATATGCTATTTCCGGCTATTACTCGCGCGTACCGCGATACAAATGTCGCTTTTCGTTTTAATTCCACGTTATCGTTCGATCGATGCTTGATGGGTCTGTGTCACAGCGTTGCATTTTACACTGTGATATTTTTATTATTTTTTTTCTTTTTCCTAGTATCGATATATAATTGCTTCCCAATTTTTTTTAAGGAACCAGTACCGTGTGTCGACCGCTCAGTTTGTATTTCTACAGTACTACGTACGGAGCAGACGAGATTACGATCGTGGAACATTCCGAGATTGAAAACGTCGCGCTGTTTATTTTTTACTCCCATCTGTCGATCGTTCAAGTGTCGACGTAATCTCGCTGCTCCGGTCGAGGGAACTCCGTATTAATTGTAAATTATCGCTGTACAGTATGGAAAGGCATCGTCATACGAGAAAGGATTAAAAAGAAAATAGTATTACGCTCTAAGATTATTATTGTCACTATTCTCATTATTATTATTCTTATTATTATTATTGTTATTATTATCCGAAGCTTGAATCCACATTACCTTATCGAGTATACTTACCAGTTAGAAGTATCGTGTGATGTATCGTCTGTGTGTTACAAAGTATTCAAGTAATAAAAATGAAACAATTACGCCCGAATTATCGTCGAGCCTATCTTCCCACGTGTCTTGTCAAGCACTCGAATTAAGAAGCAAGAATGTACTATCAAAATTATTCTTATTTATTTAAATAAATATATACAGTTTACCAAACCAATCACATTTCGGTTCAAGGTATGGTCCATGCAGCGACAAGTACACGATCATGCATCCTTGAGAACAAAAAGTTTTTGTTATTTGTATATAGACGTGTAGTATTCTTCTTCCAAATCGTACAAATCAGCAGCCATGTCGTCCCTCAATGATGCTAATTTCTGATCGCATTCCGCTTGTTTCGTCCGAAACAATTTGCTGTTTTGCGCTATCGCTTCGTTCACGGAGGGAAAGTCGTTCAGTATCAGGTATTGTTTTATATCGGAAACAAGTTTCATCAAAGATTCCCCCGCACGTACGATATTCGCTGCTCTTACGTGCATCTCGTACGTATCCTGTTCGCACTGCGTCATCCGAGACAATTGCGAGTCGCTTTCTCCTTTGGCTAGTTTTATGATTTCTGGAATTAGAAGGAATTTATTACGCATAATTGTACTTTGCAACGCGGTTTCGCTTTCGTCTTAAAAATTGGACGAACGCTTGGCGCCGCGTAAAAAGTGAGGTTAGGATGCCTACCTTCGAAATTCTCCAGCATCGACTTCACGTCGTCTTTTAATCTCGTCGTGTAGGATTTTAATAAAGCTTCTTTGCTTTGTGGCAATGCTCGTTGTGCAGCCATGATTTTGGAAAAATGAGCACTGTTTCTTCATAAAAACGTACCAGATCAAAACATGGGACCTAACATATACCCATTTATGACAGTACCACCAAAGAAGTATACGATAGACCGGGCATTCGATAAAAGGCTCTATTTCACGAAGTACAGTGTAACTTGTACGGAATAAAAGATATCAGACTTGATTCGTTTCACAGACTTTGCGTGTTGTGTTAGGCAAGTCGTTTCAGTCAGCAATCGTGAGATTCGTGACTAAGTAACAATTACACAAATGTCCACATCCTGCTCATAATTCGAGACTGTCTTTCATTCTGCTTACAACACATTTCGTGATAGTTTCGTGCCACATAAAGGCAAATTTAACCCTTCGACACAGTATATACGGTTCTAATTGTCGCACACCGAAACCTGGCCTGAACTTTGTAATAGGTTATGAATCCATTAAACAGATTATTTATCAAATACTAATTGTTTCATTTTAACACGCTTGTGTATACATTGTTTGATCGAAATATGCAATATAATGGTACTGATTTTGTTTCATAAAAGTTTGTTAGTTCGATTGATAATTCATCAAAGACATATCGTGAAACGACTAAAGCCGCGTTTTCATCGTGCTCATTGTTTATTTTTTCCTCTGACTTCATACGCAACGAGCGACTGGGAATTGCGCGGGAACAGAAAACGCGGCTTAACAGTTCGAAAGCGAGATGGAACTTCCATCTAGCGGCGAACGAAAGAACGTTGAAAGATAAAAAAGGTATTAGGTAAATGTTAGTAATTATTTTGCGTAAAACAGTTGTATATCAGTAAATTAAATGGACAATATGCGAAAGCATATTCAATTACCTTTATTTTAATATTTTCATACTAAAATAATGGATGTGCATATTTAAAAATTGTACCAGGGTAATAATAGTAATTTTATTCGTCCGTAATAATTATTTAGCTATTATAGCGGTGTTCGGATACATGCTGGTCATATATCCGAGCAGGTGAATTTCCAAGAATCGCTAATGCGATTTTATCGACCGAACGGGGGTGTACACGCGCATCGCTCGATTCAAACCCGCTTTTAATCGCCTCGGCAAAGATTGATCGACGACCTTCGAACAATACTCGAAAACCTGAAATTCGATAGCTGGCGTGTCGGTTGGACACGAACGAAGCACTAGATTAGATAAGGTCGGATCGATACGGAGTCTTTCAAAATACATTGTACGGTCTTGGAAGGCTTTCCTTTTTAAAACGATCAACTTAAAAGCGTACGCTCGTCGCAACGAGTGGTAGCTATCGAAACGAATCCACTCGATGCGCGCGAAGTCGATTTTCAAAGAGTAGTGCGATTCCATATTTTGGATACGTATTCTCAGGGGAGATATCGTTCGTTCTCAAATTGTGGCGTGCGTTTCGGGACACCCTGTATATTGATTTTTCAGTCGAAACCTAGGGGACGGAGCCGCCACATCCCCACTACGATTCTTGGTAGCCGGGATGAAATCAATAGGAAGCTCGCGCGAACGCGCTCCGTCCTCGTTGAATCCATTCGCACGCTAAATCCGCGGGGGTGTCGAGCGCGCGAGGAGGAGCGTAGAAACCCGGTGAACGATGGAGAACGCGGAAACGCGGTTTTGAACGTAGTCGGAACCTCGTCGAGGGTTAACGAAAGCGGTATCCGTTCGCCCGTCCAGCGCGTGGTGCTCTCGGCTCGGTGTAATCGTCGTTCCCATGAATTAGTGATCGTGACTCTGCAAAGTGACCAGCGATCGACGACGATGGCTGCGAGTCACGTAAGGAAAGTACGATTCTCAGCGTTGCGGCGTTGGGGTGTGTCGTAGGCCGACAAGGGGAATAGGCAAATTTTGTCCGAGGCATTCTACGCAGGTACGCGAAAGAATCTCACGAGCAGCCGCGATGCTAGAGCTTCTAATAATAATTCTAACGTCGATGGGCGCGATCGAGGGTTCGTTACCTCCCGACGACGCGGACAATGTGTTGCACATCGGTGGCATATTCCCGATAGCGGGGGAGGGTGGGTGGCAGGGTGGTCAGGTGAGTAATGATCGTAAATTAAATGTTGATAAGATGATCGACGGTATCGCTCGTCTTTCTCTTTTTTCAAGAAAACGATGCCATGTCCGCGAATCAATTTTTCTCAACCGGAGTTTCAGATTGGGTAGAAACTTATTTCTTATTTAACAGGCTTGCATGCCGGCCGTAAACCTGGCCTTGGACGATGTCAATCGCGAGAAGAACCTGTTACCTGGCTTCATTCTTAAGCTCCACTCGAACGATAGCGAGGTACTCCCGACTCGACGAAAAGTTAACGATAGATTTATGGATCGCGCACACTTTTATCGAAACTCTATAAATCTAGCGTTGATAATATTTTTAGTGCGAGCCAGGACTCGGTGCCTCGGTGATGTACAATCTACTGTACTACAATCCACACAAATTGATGCTGTTGGCCGGGTGTAGTACAGTTTGCACGACCGTCGCCGAGGCGGCGAAAATGTGGAACCTGGTGGTGGTGAGTAAGATTACTTAATTACCCTTCGTTTTAAAGATGGATGAAATTTAACTGGGATGTTTTCAGCTGTGCTACGGTGCATCGTCGCCAGCGTTGTCCGATAGAAATAGGTTCCCTACCCTCTTCAGGACCCACCCCTCGGCCACGGTGCACAACCCCACGAGAATCAAACTGTTGCAAAAGTTCGGCTGGTCTCGAGTGGCGATCCTGCAGCAAGCCGAAGAAGTGTTCATATCGGTAAGGCTACGTTAGACCAAACAATCGGTTTAGATCCCTGTTGTTCTCCACGAAAAATTCTTTGACAGACCGTAGAAGATTTAGAGGCGCGCTGCAAGGAGGCAGGGATAGAAATAGTGACCCGTCAGAGCTTCCTGTCGGATCCTTCCGACGCTGTGAGGAACCTGCGTCGCCAGGACGCGAGGATCATCGTCGGCCTGTTCTACGTGGTGGCGGCTAGGAGAGTCCTCTGCGAGCTCTACCACCAGAACCTCTACGGGAAGAGTTATGTATGGTTCTTTATCGGATGGTACGAGGACAATTGGTTCGAGGTGAACCTGGACAAGGAGGGGATCACCTGCACGAAGGACGAGATGAGGCTGGCCGCGGAGGGACACTTGACGACGGAGGCTCTCATGTGGAATCAAAATAACGACACGACAATCAGCGGTATGACGTCCGAGGACTTCAGACAGAGGTTGAACAAAATGCTCAAAGAAGACGGCTACGATATCGATAACAACCGGTATCCCGAGGGATACCAGGAGGCGCCTCTCGCCTACGACGCGGTTTGGTCCGTCGCGTTAGGTACGAAAGGGACTCGAGGCTTTCGGGCGCGAGATACGTCAGGGTTCAGAATGATTTTGAGGAACAAAGACGCAACTCACACCCGAGAGCCTCGACTAGGTACCGGAGACCGTCGGTTAAAGTAGGATTCAATCGCTCGATTACGTTCCTACCAGCTTTCAACAAGACAATGGAAAAGCTGAGCAAGCAAGGGAAGAGCCTGAAGAACTTCACCTACGTCGACAAGGAGATCGCGGACGAAATTTATTCCGCGGTCAATTCCACCCAATTCCTGGGCGTCTCGGTACGTGTCGCGAATAAATAGAAACGAAGCTTTATTTCGAGTGGCGGATCTCTGATCGATTTTGTGCGCTCTAGGGATACGTTGCGTTCAGCTCGCAAGGTGACAGAATTGCGTTGACCCAAATCGAGCAAGTAATCGATGGAAAGTACGTAAAGTTGGGATACTACGACACGCAAAGCGACAATCTGACCTGGAGGAACATGGAAAGATGGATAGGCGGCAAGATTCCGCAGGACAGAACCATCGTGAGGACCGTGTTGAGGACCGTCTCTCTGACTCTGTTCATATGCATGGGTGCTATATCATCGTTTGGGATCGTCATCGCCTTTGGACTGATCATTTTTAATATCTGGAACAGGCACAGAAGGTAAATTAAGTTTTCTTTGGACACTTACCAGCTGGATCGTTGGAAAAGTCGCGACGCAACTTGATGGAAAATAATTTTCCAGCGTGATCATGTCGTCCCATCCCGTGTGCAACACGATAATGCTCGTGGGGGTGATAGCGTGCTTCGTCTCGGTGTTCCTTTTGGGCATCGACGGCAGATTCGTGCCCGAGTGGGAGTATCCGGCTGTCTGCCAGGCCAGAGCCTGGATGCTGTCCACGGGTTTCACGCTGGCGTTCGGCGCCATGTTTAGCAAAGTGTGGCGGGTCCACAGACTCACGACGAAAACGAAAGCCGACCAGGCGAAGGTGAGACAAACGGACGACCCATGTCGTTCGATTTTTATCGCTTTAGCTAAGTCGATTCGACGATTAACCACGTGGCAACTGTTTCTAGTCTCTCACACGCAGTCTGCACCGCCCCTGCATGGTTCGCAGATCCTGCTCGTACGACCCTGGTCTTTAACGTATTCTCGGTTCTTTTTAGTTGTTCATGGCTAAACAAAAAGTTTCGTCCATACAGAAGAAAATCCAACCGTGGAAGCTGTATACGATGGTAAGTGGATTGTTGGCGCTGGACATTGTGCTACTAGTCTCCTGGCAGGTGCTCGATCCTCTGCAGAGGAAGATCGAGACATTCCCGCTGGAGTCGTCACCGTTTGGCGACGACGACGCGCGGATCAGGCCCGAATTGGAGCATTGCGAGAGCATCCACAATAACGTTTGGCTCGGTGAGTGTCGCGTAGATCCTGAAGCTGGTCGATCGAAAATAAAGAAGTTCTCCCCTTTCTTTCAGGTTTGATTTACAGTTACAAGGGGATCATCCTGGTGTTCGGGCTGTTCCTGGCTTACGAGACGAGGAGCATCAAAGTTAAACAGATCAATGATTCCAGATACGTCGGGATGTCGATATACAACGTGGTGATCCTCTGTGTGATCACGGCGCCCGTGACGATGGTGATCGCCAGTCAGCAGGACGCCAGCTTCGCGTTCGTCGCGCTCGCCATAATCTTCTGCTGCTTCCTCAGCATGGCGTTGATCTTCGTGCCCAAAATGATCGAAGTGATCAGGCATCCTAAGGACAAGGTCGAGTCCAAGTACAATCCGGACGTGGGCGTGACCAAGGAGGACGAGGAGAAGTACCAGAAGCTCCTCAGCGAGAACGACGAGCTTCAGAAGCTCATCGCAGCGGTGAGGGGGTTTCTCAATCTTCCATAAAATGTTATTCAAAATGTTTATAGAAAAAGGAAAATGTCACGGTTTGGAGCATGTTTTGATATTAATTTTGCATCGCTGCATCTGTTTTTCCAGAAAGAGGAGAAGATCAGAGTCCTGAAGCAGATGCTGGCCGAGCGGGACGCGTCCAAGGGCGGTGGGATGAACGTCCCCAAGGACTCGCTGATCGTGGCCGATTTCGTGACAGGCGAGGGGACCTCGGACAGCGCAATCGGTGGGGGCATTTCTGTTTATACGCGATCATCTCGAGCTTCTGCCTCCGACTTTGAGTTCTCGGAGTCGTACTTGTAGAACCCCGTGGGGCCGGGAATCGTTACGAATTTAAGCAACCTTGGGACCTAACACGGACAAGCTACGTCGCTTCTTTCTTACGAGTATCGGTTTTACGAACAGCCTCTGGAATCTCACACGCAAATTTCTATTTTCACCGAGCCCGCGCGATACGGTTTTCTCGATCACGGTCCTTTTACCGGACGCAGGTTTCGGTAGAACGGCCGAATCGTTCCGAGTATCGTACGAGGGGGCTGCAACGCGACCATATCCGGGATGGTCGCGCCGAACGACACTAAGTCGCGCACTTTTTAAATCAAACTACCAAAACGAAACGACGCGCCGTTGTTCCGAGGAACGACTTCGTTTCGATGGTTTCATCGTAGTCGGTACGGCTCTGTGTTAATGTATTCGGTGTCTAAACGTATAAATGTCCTTGAATGTATGTGTATACTAATACGTGTGCGTATGCGTAGAGAAAATCGTTAACTAAATGTGAGCAATAGAATGTCTCGACACGTACCGCGGTACCGTACGTTTATCAGTTGAATCGCGGATCGAAAAAGCTGGCCTACGTGTATTGCGCCCCGGTTTACAACGACAATTTTCGTTACCTCGAGAGTTTATCGCACAGTTAGGCTAAATCGCCGATTAACGAGATTATATTATACGACATATTTGTACAGAGAAATTTTATCGGATTCTACACGAGAAGTCGCGAGTAGGCGGAGTTTGCACGAGAACGGATCAATTACGCGAACAATTGAACACGGACCAAAACGCCACGCGAAACGTTTACTGTCATTGGTTTTTAAATATTTTACGAAAAACGTCGAGGTCCAAAGCAAGAGGGAAACATTTCCATTTTGAAACAATTTCGAATCGTTACAGTTCCACGCGCGAGGTGTAACGGAAAAGATGTTGCATAAAGTTTAGCCGCTTGCGATTCGCTTCGTCCAAGCGTTGCAACAAAAGATACCACGAACGTTCATTTCGTCTCAGGCCTAGTGGTCATTCTTTCTCCACCTCCACCATTTACTGTTCACGCATGGTTCCCAGCGATTGCAGTTAAATCTCGTTAGACGACAACCACCTGGTCATTTCCGTATCTGCGAATCGATGTGAACCTCATGAAGTCTGCTCCCAAATTGTACGGAACTCTCCGCAACGGTACGCGGGTATTGGCGATTATCGCGTACAGGTGTGACGTTCGAGCGCGGGCAAAACGAGATTCGTAACGTGCTAACGAGATTTAAACGCTTTCAACTGTTGCGCCATTCATAAATAATTTGGGAGTCTTGATGAGGTAGACCAACGCGATTAGGACCACCGGGACCACGCTCGAATCTCACGGACCCGTGCGTCCCCGCGACTCGAAATCCAACTAGGACGAAAAAAAAAAACACTGCTCGAGCCGACCGAAGTAATTATTTATGAATGGTAAAAAAAGAACAACAGATTTTTGAACGCTTGTCACGCATAATGTCCGGAAGGATTATCGCTTTTTCAATTCTTCTTTCTAGAAACGGACCAGGTCGGCTGAGAACGCAAGAGTCCCGTCGATTAGGACGACGAAAGCAATATACATGTGTGAACGGGCTAAACGCTCACGGCGAAGCTCTGTTTGTCTATCTGTCTTACTTCTTTATTCTAAAACTAGCATTAAATGTACACGCGTGAAATCCACCACGGAACATCGGACTCTGAATTTTCTAACCAGAAGGAAACGATCGGTTGATTCCCAGGGAAATTGTTTTAAAAGTATTGCGGGCGGGCTTTGGAATCGGATAGGTGTCGCGTCTTAGCCGAAACACGAGGCACCGTATCAAAAAAGGAATATTTCTAAAGTAACTTTCGTTCGGATCACGGAGTTCAACTTTTTCTAAAAACGTTAGACAAATCGAGACGTCGGGCTCGAGAACTGCTTTACATTATTCGGGAGAAGATAATGTGATTTGACTGCAATTCAAACTTTATCAGTATACAAGATGATTTATGTATGTGTATAACGTAGATTGGATAAGCCACGGAGCACAAGTTTTTTCGTACGTGCATTTCAATTTCGCCACTCTACGTGTACATGGTGTTTAGAAAGACTACGAATGTTTTTGTTGAAATCGTTTCTAGCATAATTCATCATCGTCGCGCTCATCCACGGTATTTTTTACTGTACTTCTTCGATCGACTGTCGCGCGCCCAGCGCCTGACTAAAATTGCTATACGATATACATATATATATACATAGTCTTATCGAACTGTTAAAGAAAGTATCATATATATGTACGTTAGAATATGGAGATATATTTATTTTTAAGTTTTTAAATTATAAAATTCGTTAAAAATTCATATACTGTATCTGTTATTAAAAACCCTGCGTTTATCGGTGTCCCGCTCTCGTATCCCTCGTATCGATATCGAGAAATCGAGCGATCGCGATCGAATCGGCTAAATTTTGCAAGTTTCAAACCTCTCCCTTTATTTCAAATATCAAACACAAAGAATTCTTGAAAGAAAATCATATATTTGATACATCGTAGATGCATGTGGCGATCACGAATATATGTAGTACAAATTAATATACGATTGTATTAAACAAAAATAGTCGAATAAAGGTTGTAACGTGTATTGTGGAAACTTGAAAATTTCAAATGCTCTGCGACGTCATGTGACGCGAGTTCTGCGCAGAAGCGGGAATTTGCGTTCGTGGCGCATGTCAGCCGCCATGTTCGCTGCACTGTCGTTTATACAAAATTATAAGGCGCGCGCGGTAAATTGTGTTTTCGACGTGTGTGGAATTTGGTTAAATCGCAGAGATGTCATTTGGTACGGGATTCGGAGTGGCAACTTCAACGCCTGCTCCTGCCTTTAGTTTCGGTGCCACGGCGTCTACTGCCGCGACGCCAGTAAAAGCGGGTATGTCGACTTCATTTAGGTTATGTTACATTTCGAATATCCACCTGCTACATGTGACTCTTTAAGAAATTTTCCCGATCGTGATGCTCATTTTGTATTGAGTCCATACAAACGTTATCGCGTACTTTGTATTTGTTACGGGAGATATCGTTGTAAATATTTGTGGAACGTCAGTTCGACCAGACACTCCAATTTCTAATACGCAGTTTCACCTTGATCCGTGTTTAAAATACACTTTACTCCCGCGTACATAATCATATCGCGATCTCCTATATCTTAGACAGTATCTTCTTTGATAAAAAGAATTTCCAGACTCTATGTAGACTTGCAAAGATCAGTATGCTCTAATCTCTCAATGAACCAAGATTAGTTTTGTTAGTACTGTCTGACATTTTATCTAGTAGAGGTTGATTTATACCGGAACATCCTGGTTCGCATTCCTTGTCACCTTTCCCAAAGAAATTTCTTTGCCTTTTTGATCTGGCTATGAGACAGGCTGTGATACAGCACATAAACAATATAACCACCAGGGCACTTAATAATGCAACTAAAACCGACGAATGGCTGTTGGATTCACCATTAGACTTAGTTGTTTCTGAAGATGCCATCACAGCTTGGGCATATTGAGATGTAGTTAATAGATCAAGTTGAGAAGTTACAAATTTTGCTTTTGGAGTTGTATCTTCCAAATAATACATTTCATTTGGAATTTTACCTAATGTTGTAATCATAACTTCTGCCGTAGCATCCTTAAAAGAAGTTATTACAGTAGAATTGATTGTATTAATCTGATGCCTGTAATGTATTGTAAAATGTCTTTGCAAAATATACCCCAATTGCTACATCCGTAGTACCCACTACGTGTAGAAGTTCTGTAGCAGTATCTTCAGGTTGTTTGGCATGCCGGATAACCACCTTACTGCCAGACATTGTAGTTATCTTCAACAATTTGCGTGCAAGTTGACCGTACTTGCTATTCTGTTAAATTTCCTACGTGTAATTTAAAGTTTCCAATTCTTGTAAATACATATAATGAACATACCTGATTATACCGATTGATGTATGACATGATTTAAAATTTTTGTACAATAACGTATAATTTAAAATATTTCAGAAAATTTGTAGATATGGAAACACTTCATATATTATAATATTGCCGAAGTATTTAACGTGCTCACGACGCGCGCAATTAACAAATTCCACGAATAAAATGCAAATTATTGTCGCGACCGTACGCAAGACATTTCTGTCATTTACTGATTTTCCTGTTCGTGGCATTTTCAGACCGGTGGAAACAAAAACTAATTTTTGTGACACAACGTTGCATAGTTTCACGTTATATGTGTATTGTTTCATAGTGTCCCCGTACGAATCATAAGTATATTCTTACATTGTAATAAATAAAGTACGAAAAAACTTGTTAATATATATTTCTAGTAAGTACAAATATTTAGATCGTTTAGAAACTGATCTTTCGGCAGGATTTGGAACGCCATCTTTCGGATTTAGTACGCCGGCGACTTCGGCACCGAGCCTGTTTGGTTCGTCCTCGACTCCAGCCGCCGGGGCATTCGGAACAGCTACTGGATTCGGTACACCGGCTGCTGCTGGCTTTGGTACTACCGCGACGACAGGTTTCGGTGCAACGCCTGCATTTGGTACGACACCTACCAGTGGATTCGGATCCACTCCAGCCTTTGGCACTACACCCGCTGCAACGAACACCGGATTTGGCACAACCTCCACATTTGGCGGCGCGCCTGCCTCCACAACAGGTTTCGGTGGATTTGGCGCCACTGGGACCACGTCTTCTTTAGCTTTCGGCGGTTTCAGCGGATTTGGATCCGCGACTACCTCGACACCGTCCTTTTTCGGAGGATTCGGTACTACGAGCACACCGTCTACCGGTTTTGGTACATCCACGGGATTCGGTGGGTTTGGAACCAAACCAACGTCCACAGCCACGACCACTGGTTTTGGTGGTTTTGGTACAGGTCAGTTCCGATAGAACGACATCTTTTTTTTTAATAATAACGGCATTGATGGATGTTAAATTGTTCATCCAGGTTCGGGATTTGCAAGCTTTGGAACTGGGTTGGCGCAACCTCAACAGCAACAGTTCCAACAGCAACAGTTTCAACAGCAGCAGCAATTGCAACAGCAAACTGCTAACACTATATCGGAAGCATTATATAATGCTGTTTTTAATTGTCAATTGTACAGCGATGAACGCGACAATATCATTGCTAGATGGAATCTTCTACAGTCGCTTTGGGGTACAGGGAAAGCTTACTATTCTATGAACATGCCCGCTATCGATCTTACTCAAGAGAACCCACTATGTAGATTTAAGGCTATCGGGTACAGTCGTATGCCCGAAGCCGACAACAACGACGGGCTGGTTGTACTTTGTTTCAATAAAAAGAAAAAAGATATCAAAGAGGGCGAGATACAGTTGATCGGTTTTATGAACAATATCTTAGGGAATAAGCCGAACTTGACGTTGACGGTGGACAATATAAAAGCAGTCGGCGAAGAAAAGAGTCAGGTGACCATCATTGTTACCGAAAAGGGAATCACCGGGGCACCGAGAAAGATTCCCGCCAACGAGCTGGTCGCGTATTTATCGCAACCGATGCAAAAGCAACAATTGGTACAAAACGGCGTGGAAGATATATTACCTCTAGTGAAACTAGATCCCGCTCAACTCAAAGAATATTTAGACAATCCGCCGTGCTCCATCGATCCTAGATTATGGAAGCAGGCTCAGTTGGACAATCCTAATCCGGAACTTTACATACCAGTGCCAATGATCGGGTTTCAACAAGTGAAACACAGATTAAAGTGTCAGGAAGAGGAAACGACCAGGCACAGAAACTTCTTAGACATGGCGTCGGAGGAAATACAAAAGCTACAGAGACAACACACGGCGATACAAGCTAGGCTTAAAGAGCATAGGAGAACCTTATTGGAACTTCAACACAGGGTACTGCAAGTAAGTATATTTCTATGATCTCGTTATTTCGATCGTTCTCTCTAGTCGCGTCTATATATTTTTACGATTGTATTTCTGGTGCAAGGTATTGGTGCGCCAAGAAATTACGCGGAAGGTTGGGCTATCTCTGCAACCGGAGGAAGAAGTTCTGACGCGTAGGTTCGAAGCCATGCACTCGCAGATTAGCGCGCCGACTCAGTTCAAAGGTAGAATTAGCGAAATGCTTTCTCAGTTGAGAATGAGAAGTCACGTAGATCCTCAAAATCAGGAGAGATACGCGATGGATCCTATAGCGCAGGACGATATAAAAGGGGTACGCAAAGAAACGAATATTTTCTGAAATAAATATACCTATCAAAAAGCGCAACTATTTTTTTTTTCTTTTTATTATTTGTTTCAGTACCTCTCGATGGAACAACAGGGCATGGCACAACTTATAGCAACGATAAACGCTGATCTAGAAAGTTTGAAAATCATTAAAGACGGCATGTCGGACCTTTTAATTAGTCATAGTATATCGTGAGATTTATATTTAGTTCCGTAAATTATTAACGTTTTTTCTTTCTTTTTTTATCAAAATTTTTACCACGATAAAAACGAGGCAATGGACCGTAACAAGAGAATTTTTGCAGCCTTGATATTTGGTGATATATTTATTATTTTTCGTCCGTTTCAAATCTATCGATCGACGGGAGACTCGATTCGCCTCGGAAATAATTTTGTTCTCACGTTACATGGCTGTTAACGACAAAGCGATTGCCTTTTTCCAGTGGAAGAAAATGTCGAGACGCGTTTATATTTCAGGTACCGACGAAAAAAAAAAATAAAATAAATAGATATTCGTTATATACAGAGAAAAATAAATGATTTTTACATAAATAATGTGCTTTATTGAATCGTTTCATGTCACCGAGCACACTCCTCTCATCAGAAACGCACATACTTTTCTCCATACGTCTTAACTTTTTGGATGACTATATCTTATACATAATATATCTTTATATACATATTATACATAGGCGTTTAGTATAAAATACCGGGATACTTTCGACCGCGTCTGATATTTCGAAGGCGTTATTATACAAAGGTTTTCCTATCGTAACGTTACGCTGGACTTGCATGCGACATATGCACAGGCGCATTGATAATCGATTAATCGAATAACCTGTAAATCTAGATCCGAGACTCTTTGATCGAGTCGCTGACGAATTAAGATTGAGCAAATCTCGTACGGTGTTAAAACTGTTTTCTTCTTCGACGGCTATTATAACGTTCTACGATATATTTGGTTTCGCACTCTAATCAAAACTGACAACTTTCTCGCTAAGATCAATCTCTCTTCTCACCGGTACGATTTCGTCGATGTCGATCTCCGTTTATCCACTTTGGTCCTAAGAAATTAGTGAGTAACGATCGAGTAAATTTTGTATCGAAAAATACGGGTTTCCCAAACATTCCGTGCATCCTCGGCAATCGCTTCGACGATAGACTCGAGTCGCGGGACGCAGAAACCAACCGTGGCCCGGGCAGAATTTCCACGCAATTCGCGAACGCTCGAAGTCGCCCCGTCGCGTGTTTCGTCGGAACGTTTCCAGATTTAACCGAGAAAATGGTAAACTCGAGGACGACCACGAGAACGTTTAACGCAGGCCACGGCGGGTAGCTTGAGCTGGCCACCGTCCGAATCTGAAAAATAATATCCACGATCTCCGGAACGAGGACGTTTCGTTACTTGTTGACCGTCAGGTCCAGAGGAAGATCTTGCTCCATTTCGGCGACGTTCTCGTTCTTAACGCGAAGGTCTTGCCCGCAGGTGTTGTTCGTGTCCACGATGTTGCCCCAGACGTTCTGCAACCCGTACTGCAGATCCACCGAGCCGAGCAGGTGTCTGAACAGAGGGTTCTGCGCCTTGAGTATCAAGTCGGAGAGGATCTTGGTCTTCTCCAGGATGTTGTCGTTGCTGTGCACGCAACACTTGCGACGGCAACAGCAGTCGGTGGCGTCGTTGCACGCGTCCTCCTTGATCGGCGTTTGCTCCACCTCCATCTTGATATCGTCCGCCCGTTTTATCACAGAATTCCTCACCGGCTCGCATACGGACGCATTGTTTTCCTTTTTGCAGGGCGTGCTGTTGACGATCGACTCGATGTTCCTGTAATCGACCGTGCACGGTTTGCTCTGGTGCTCGACGGGCTCCTCGGTCTTGATGGGCGTCGACTGCATCTCGATGCGAGGCGGCAGGGAGTCGGGAACGTGGCGGGGACTAGTTTGCGGCGATCCTACCGACTGGTTCTCGCCGATAATCGCGTTACTCGTTAGGTACATGGGATTCGCCCGAATCTTCTCCGCCATTATGTAATTCTCGTCGTAGATCCTCGGATGGATCTTGACGTCCTGTTCGTACGGTTTTCGCGGCATGATCTGATCCTGTTCTTTGCGTTGCTCTTGCAAATTGTACATGTTATTCCACTCGACGAAACTCTTCTGCTCCTCGAAGCTGTAGCTGATCTTGGGGCTCGAGCCGGATATGCTGCTCTCGATGCTGCTGTCCTTCTTGTCCGACTCCGAGTGTGTACTGCTGTTCTGCTTCTCCGGCGAGACCGCGTCGAACCTCGCCTTCTCCTGGGAGTTGTTCTCGTCGAAGCTCTTCTCCTGGACCTTGTCGTTATTGTTCACGTAGTGCCTGTAAGTCTTTACGTGTTTGCGCAGAGACGAGGGATCGGTGTACCTCTTCGGGCAGCCCGGAACCTTGCAGCAGTACGGTTTGTCCACGGCGTGGGTCCTGGTGTGCTTGAACCTGTCCGAGGAGTTTGAGTAAGCCTTGTTGCAACCCTCCACGGGGCAGACGTACGGTCGCTCGCCCGTGTGAGAACGAGCATGGATCTTCAGGTTCTCCGCCCGGCTGAAGCTCTTGTCGCATTGGAAACAGTGATGCGGTTTCTCGTTCGTGTGCGTCCGGACGTGGACCAGCATCTTGTATCTACGGGGGAAGAGATAGCAATATTATCATCCAATGGTATCTATATAATTATGACGGAGACATAATAGGTAAGACGATTGCTTAGGGTAGCGGTTTCCAAACTTCTCTACGCGCGAGACGAATGGTGAGAAATGATTATTTACTATTATAATTGTGCTCACCTAGCATTAAATCCACGTTCGCCTCTCGCACATCCTTCCCAGCCGCAATAAAATAGTCCTCGTGGTCCTGGCGCAGCATGGAGTCGCGCGACGTGTCCTGCCAGTTGTTCCAAGGACGTGAACCATCGACCACAATTTAGCCATCTGCAATCACAACGATAAAGGTTAGTCATCGAAAGTACAATTATTTCGATCTAATACACATTCGTGAAATTTGCTCAATGCAGTGTTAAGGGTAGTGATCTTCGGTCGCGCGATCATTCCGATCAGCGTGATCGTCAATGAGATCGCGATCGTTTAAGGCCAATATCTCGAATCTTTCTCTCATTCTCTCGCGGCCAATTGATCTATTTATACCATTTATTTCCCCTGTCGCTCATTTACCGAGAAATTCTAAATATAACCGACACGCGCGACGGGACGATTGTTGCATATTGATCGATCGACGAGTCCTCGCGTGCGCATCCTTGCCCCAAACTTCACAGATCGAATCGTGAAGCCAATGGCTGTGAAGGTTCTCGTTCGTTTAGGAATTATCTCGATTCTTCTTTTTTTCATGCATTCAGGGTTAAACGCGGCCCCGTAACGATCGAACGGCTCGTCGTCACGCGAACCAGTGGTGGCCAGCTACTTGAAAATACTGATATTTTGCGAATCGAAGGTATCGAGTTAAAGAACGTCAGGTGACACGACAGCGCAGGTGTTAAGTAGCTGACCACCACTGTTAAATACAGCGTCGATGCACCGTGTGACCTATCGACGCGCGATTTGCGTCAAGAACGTCCGTTCGACCGACCAATTGCTACCAATTCCGATGATTGTGCAATTGGCGTCGCTTGACACCAGTTGCTATTCCAGTCAACGGCATCGCGATCCACGAATCGACGTTCACGAACAGCTCGTCGCAGGGGTCGCGGATCAAGGTAACGCCTCGGCGTTTTATCGACGATCCGTTCGATACGACCCCCTGTCGAATCATAATAGAACGTTGTTTTCATGCTCTTATCGTTTAACTCAGCTTCCGTCATTTATATTTCCGTGGCGCGTGCAACCAAAGATCCCCGGAGTCGCGTTCCAGGATCCGTAATTCCAACAAGTACGAGCGTATCGTACGCGTATTCTGGTTTTCTCGACGATAAGCGCACGAGGCGGGCTCGTGCAAAGCACGCGCGCGATAAATGATCGCATCTCTGCAACCACGCTCAGTGGGCCAATCGCATGGCACACGCGAAACAGAGCTACGTTTAATACGCTCAAAATTAATATTTCTCAACGTCATCCTCGAAATAGTTTATCGTAAACCAAACGGTAAACGATGGAATTAAGTAAAAGGAAATAGCAACGTTAGACTCTCGGTACGTATCTCGAGAATAGACTTTTTTTAATTTTAGTCCATTCATGGACACGCCATGTCCTTAAACAGAGCGTGACGAGCCCTTTGCCACCCACGGGGTTATCGAAACGTGACTCGCTTCCGCGATCGTGAATATTCGTACGTGCTCTGGCGAAACCCGAGATTCGTCTCTCTTTTGCCGCGGATATCGAGGGTTCGTTGACTCAGTGCGAAGTCTACGTCGAATTTCGCGCGTTCGTCTCGAACGGATCGTCTGGAAACGCGACGGGTGGGACAGTCTACGACGCAGTAACTTTAGAATCTTGGTCGAACGCGGCGGAGCCGCTGCGCGTTTCCCGATATCGCGACGGATGCAGGCAAACTGGTTGCAACCGGAATACGCCTCGTGACGCGATTTCGCGTGCCCTCGCGCGCGCCGGAGATAAATTAGCGTCACTTAGGCGACTCGCGCGAGGCGCTTCCGGAAACGCGTTCGCGACCTCCTCAATATCTCGCGCCTACCAGTGGTTCTCTCCAAAAACTATGATAACATCAACTCAGGTTCCACGCGATTGTAGAAGAGCTGTTTTATTTGTAATTCGAGAGAGACGCGATATTGGTGGGGGCGTAGTGATAATTCGAGGATCTGCTTGCTAGTTTTTTCCGAAACGGAAAAACCAGTTTTTACGACAGAATTCGATGGGGGTTTATTTCGTAGATAGCGATTCCCAAGATATCCGACTCCCCTAGGCGACGTTGAAATATCGTTTGTTTACATCCGAGGCCATAACACGCAGTCACGACGGAGGGGTTCAAAGATTACGATTATTAATACTTTGGTGGGAGGATTAATCGGTTTAGTGAAAAGTCGAACGATTGGATCAGGAACGTAATTGGTAATGAACTTTGTAAAGAAAAGAAGAAAAAGTTGGAAATTACCTGCATTTCAATTGGGCGTTTTCCCCGCGCCGGATGGAGCCGAGTTCCAAGCTGGAACTGGAGGCGTCGGAGTCGCTGTGCGCAGGACTCGGTGGACCAACGTTCGCCAGGCCACCCGGTGTGACGGCTAGTCCTGGCAACGCGGCCGACGGAGATGTTGCTCCCAGTTCCTCCTCGACCGGCATCCTTCGCGGCCAAACCGGAAGGTCCAGCGTCGGCTGCTGATGCAGGCTGAGGCTCCCGTAGTAGCTGGAGTTCGGGCTGGTCGAATAACCGGAAATCGGGCTGTAAAAACCCGGGACCGCTCCTAGCAGGGTGCCCGGGTAACGAGCGGCGCCGTACGGACCAACGTGGCTTGGCATTCTACCCGGAACGTGAACGATCATCTTTATTCCCGTTGTTCGTTTCTTTTTTTCGGCTAATTCGACCAAAGACGCGCAAATTTCGCCCCGCGATCCTCTTAATTGGACGCTAGTTTTTAATTAGCCCGTTTGATACCCCGATAATAGAATCGTGGAAACTCGGTGGCCGTGTTTCTCCACCGGCTTGGTAAAGAGAAAGAGGAATTTACGAGCGGATTTCGTGTTCCCCGTGCCCCCGATCGTATCGCCGAAAGGTTTAAAGCCTTGCTCGCCGCGCGTCCTTCGTCCGCTTATGAAATCTCGGAGGTTTTTGGTTATTTTCATAAATTTTTAGTTGGGTCTGGTTTTTGCGGCCCGGCGATTCGGTTTCATTCGCGGCGTCGATTCGAACCCTTCGTCTCCTCTTCCCGCGTCCTCTCTGGCTGTGTTCGACGCGAGACGATCGATTCGCGCATCGGCGAGGATCGCGAACAAGACGTTCCAGGTCTTGCCAGCGCAGGAGTCGATATCCTTTCCGTTTTACTCGATCCTTTTCCCCCGGTAATCCCTGAGCACCGGTAGCAACAAGTCGCCCACGGTAACACAGTACGCTTCACATACACACAATCGCCCTCAGCGCGCGCACCCTTTTGTCACTCAAAGTCCGAGTCCGTATCGTCAGATGTATTTGAACCGGTTCGACTTGAGTATACGGTAGCTCAGGAACTGTTTGCTGTACTCGATCGAGAACATAACTAGGCTGGTCAGCGACAAATTCATCAAACACGGGCACACTCTTGTCGAAGTCCTTTTCGCCGTGGTCGTACGGCATGCGTTCCTTTCCCTCGTAAAGTCCCGACCACCCTCTTTGGCGATTAAACGGAAACGCCGATACGAGCCCCGGAACAGATCGTTTACAACCGATGCTAGATCACCGCGGTCTCCATTTTTCCGCGTTTATCGTGTTCCTCGATCTCCGCGGCGTCGAGCGTCGCTCGAACCTTATCTGTGACGCGTCGACGATCGGAGTTCACCCTCGAGGGACGTCTATGGCGTATCTCGGTGGTCAACTACCGTTCCCGATTATCGCTGCTAGCCGCGAACACGCTCGTCGGTATTCAACGATGGATCGAATCGAAGCGCCGGGAGGAACAGTCTCTGCGCGCGAAAACACCGCGACGAACGTTCAACTAATGTCAACGACAACTCCGCGTGGCCTTATATATAACCGTCCTATCGTCGCCGATTACGCCCCGCGCGCCTCCTCGCCCCTCCCACTAATACACCGACGCTGATAACGCGTAATCTCGTCGCTCCTCGTAGACGATGCGTCAGTGGACGAACGATCCAACGACTCTCGCGACCTACCGATCCGTTCAAAACCTGGGGTCGCCTTATCGCGACCAAGACGACGATCCGCGCGTGCCGGAATCCGCGATTATCCGCGTCATCGAGCCACGAAATACGCGCGAAACTGTCCCCTTGACGCGGATTTCTCGGAATATTTGGGTGAAATTCCTCGACAGCGATTCTGGATCGCCGATATCAGACTCGGAAAGACTCTCGATCTTTGAAGGTAGGGACCGAAATGACTCTGACATTAAGTGGGCAGAGTTATTGTAAAATGGAATTACATTCCCAACGAGTCAATTATTGACACGTTGCCTGACTCGGTGACGTCGTTTCTTTCAAATGCTCATAAATTTTAGCATAAAATTAGTCATTAGAAACGACGTGAAACATCGTTAAACTATTAAATATCTCTGTCTTTCCCTGTTTAATCAAGCATTGACGACATTCCTAGATATGGAAAACAGATGTGGCAGTCGACTCGTTAAGAAAAATGGTCGTTTCGTGTTTAATAACTGACTCATTGGAATATTCATGGAAAAAACAGGCCAACGGTGTTTGTGCTCGCATTGACGTTACGTTTAACCACACTGAAATATAATTAAGATATTTCCTGAAGCTAACCACAATTCTAACCTGCGTTTGATAACCCTCGAGTGTTTAGTCTAAACTTCGACTTCTGAGTTGTCTACCAAGCAACGATCTTCGATAGAATTTTTCTTCCAGTTGTTCGAAGGAGGTCAACATTTATATAATATCGAAGCGAACGATAAATCGGTAAACTAAAATATCTAGCATCGATTTCGATTGCTCCACCCTCTTTTGTCTTCGCAATTTATCTTCGTTTCTCGCTACGACTTTGAACTACCCTGTACAGTCTAGACGAGAATAAACGTTCGTAGGACTTTTTCCATACGTCGTGCTCCAGATTCACCTCTGGAAGGCATGAGAAGGATCGATCCCGATTCGTCCGGTTTCGCTTTCACTCCGATCAAGCAACTTCGCGATAACGTTTCACAAATAGTTTCGAATCGTTTGACCAGCGTCTGGTTCGCAACTTCTACGATTACTTATCTCTGACGCGCGTGCGCTCGAGATCGTTTCGACGGTCCCCGGTCCCCGGTAGCAGCTTCCGAATCGATCGCCCGGAACGAAGATCAACGATCCATTATCGTCCACCGGAAAGAATGAGACCTCATGGTCGTTTGACCCGCCCGGCGAGGCGTCGTGACGCGTCGAATTCGGAGTTTACGAGCGTCACGGTACTCCCACGAAAATCGTAGCTGCCTCGGGACCGACTTATCGCCATCTTCTCCAGGGAGAAAGTAGTGAAATTTGATCGTCGTTATCCTCTGCGGCTCCCTCGACATTCTATAGGGTTTTCCAACGGGAGCATCAGGACTTATAACCATCATGGCCGCCATATTGGTCACTCGTATTTATGAATCGTCGTCGATATTTTTACGAACGAAGGTGTTTAATTAAAACAACTTTGGACTAATTATTCTAGTTCCGTAGCGTCGTGGTAAATCGTGACGTGACGTGGCGGTGGAAGCGTTGAGATCCGCCTTATCGAGGAATTCAACCGACAGATGCGAGACGAAACGCAACAATATTGTTGTTCCGAGAAAAAAAATGACTCGTTGCACAAAATATCGTCTCTTTTTGCTGCGCTGGAGGCCTCCGAAAGATAAGTGATTCTGGCCCCTTTTGATCTCCGGGAGACCTTGATCGGGACGAGCCGCGAGGACGCGCGGTGGGGACAACTTTGCGACACGACGCGAGACAGCGGCGTATCAAGGACGAGCGAGGTGCACAATGCTCGTCGTTACGTCACAGGGCCCCGCTTCCGATTGGTCGAGACCAACGGCTCGGATTTTACCAATTGGGGAGTCAGAGTGCTCTCGCGCGTCCCTGACGTAATCGGAGACTCAAAACGAGGAGAATTTCTCGGGGAATATTGCACTTGTTCGCGACCCCCAAGCGACCGACGCGACGCGTTTCTCGACCGAGAACAAAGTCCCGCGTATCTTTTGGTGGCTCTGTCGCGTTATCGCGGTTGCATTAGCACGCTGCCGCGAATCGATGCTCGCGAGCAGAGTCAACACGGCTGGAATAATTACCACCAGGGAGGACTTTGGCGTCGCGACGAGGACGCTGGTCCATCGTGGGTGGGCCGGGGCACGGGAAGTCCGGTTTCGAAACGTCACCGGACCAAGGTGACCAATGGCCGCTCCCGCGATCGAACCTTCGCGGACGATAATCGCCGATGGGACTTTAGCGACAGTCTGGATCTGATTTACGATCGTTGCGTATCATACGATCGAATCTCCTTGATTAAAATGAACGCTCGTGGGTTCGAGTGTGCACGTGATGGTGGAGCATCGTCACCTAAACGAAGGCACGTCGAGGAGTCGCAACGTTCTTTTGGAAAGATACTCGCGACGTAATCTTCAATTCTGAATAATTAAAGTAATTGACGTAACGAGTGTCAGACCCCTCCTTCGAACCAAACGAACGAGGAAAATCTGTTTTGAATGAAAGAAATGCAACTAGCAAGAAACGACGGTAAAAAAGTTTGTTTATGTTTACATAAGGCGAAATGTCAAAGACGAAAGTTGCTTACGGAATGATACAACGTTGTGCAATGCGAAAGTAAGACGTATCGAGGCGTAATTCGTACGTATGGCACGCGATAATTAGCATCGCATAAAAACACGTCCAAAGATAAAAGACTATGTAGCACGATCAACTTTTACAATGTTTTATCGCAAAACACATATCAGGGATGCCTATGAACGTTCAGGTTGCTCTCTCCTAAACGCGGAAAGCAAATAACTTTTCGGCGAGACTTTTATTTTTGTCGCGAAGTCGCCGTTTTGTTTATCGAGGAATATGTAAATGACAAACTCCGTGCACGATAAAAATTGAACAAACAGCTTGTAAAAAGAACAGCGCGTCTACCGCCACTGTTCTCTAACGTACGTGAAATTTTTAAAAATTGATCTGTATAGGATATTTTTTTCGATAATTGTATCGATCGCGGATCGAACGACTTTGCTCCCGACGCGGCTCGATTATTTAGCGCGTCCAATAATTGGCCTTGACTTTATTCCGGCTCGCAGGCACTCGATCGTTGATCGAGGAGCCTTGCAAAAAGATCAATAGGCGATCATCGGTAGCCGCGTGTCCAATCGTCAGGGCTCGATCCAACGTTCGCCAATCGGAGCGCTTCTCGGTCTTTTTCCACGTCGATCGCGACGTTTAAGCCGAAAATATCTGCGCTCGAAGAAAAAAGAGCGATTAACGATAGTATGCCAAGGTTACGATTATGAGAATCGATGGACGACAACCGTCTTATTTTCACACTAGCCGAATTATTCTATCAGTGATCGTCGATCTTCCAGCCTATGGGAGTTGATAATGTAAATACCACGAGGCTTAGAGGAAGGGTAGTATTTTATTCGACCCTTCTATCGATCGCAATAGAAAAAGTTGTATAGTTTTCTGGGGGGAAAAATTGCGAAAGAAGACTTGAAATTACGCGTTCTACGGTAGAATGCTCTCCCTTGGGAGGAAAGTCTTGCTGAAAGCATCGTTCTGCGCAGCTGGATACATTTTCAGTATCAAAGTTCACGATAGGGAATGAAATAAACTGAACGATAAAGTCAATTTTTCTTTTTTCCCCACATCGACTTGACTCGTGATCGTCGGGTTGACGACCATTGTTCTACATTGTCCCGGATGGAAATAAAAAAAATTCTTGTACTCGACCAATCGGGGCTTCTACCTCTCTCGTAAGATACCGAAGAAAAATTTCCATTAGGATCGCGATTATTTAAATAATTGCTACAATTTTTTTTTCAATTTCTACCCGCGATATCCGAAGTTTCCGGTGCTACTGATAGATGACGAGTAAAGTCGAAAACTGCGTTTCATCGATATAAATTCGTGCGAACGAAAAAATTGCTTTTAGACGGTCCTCCTCTTTAGGAGGTAGCTGATTGGAGAGGAAAGACGCTTCCTCCGGACGTAACAGGTGCTCCGTCAGGCTGTAGACATCTGGATAAATGGGCTCGTCTCGGCGAACGAGCCTCCACTCGTCGTTTGCCCTACAATCGAGGGCGTCGAGGGTATTAAGGACGAACTACAAAGACACGATTACAGAATACCGCGTTTAAACATTTTCCATAAATCCAGAAGAACCTCGAAACTTTTCCTCGAAGACATTCAACAGTATCCGCTCTCTATTTTTATTTCCCGCGACGATAATGGCCGCGAGACGATCGTCGTTTCGTCACCGGAATGCTAAACGAACCATCAATCTAATCTCAACGGGAGACGGAGTTTCGTTCGTCTGAATGGCAACGGTAAACAACAAGCTCGCGCAGAAATTAAGATCTACCCGTTGCTATCAGCGCCAGTGGTTCTCAGTACTTCTTTTAGAAAGAATGGCGCCGCGTGACTTCTTCCCCCCTTTTCGTTTACTTTTTTCCTGCGACTTATCGGCTTACGCCTCGCGGATAAAGTTTGCGATAGTCAGAAGCGCCTTCGTAATCCCGATAAACGCCGCGGAAACGATTACGATTACGATTCTTATTGCGTGCGATTTTTCCGATTCGAGCAACGATACGAGCGTTGCACGACACGGTGAGCACCGACGCATTCACGCGTCGTTCTTGTGACATTTCGATAAGACGATCGAGGGGGTCTGCTCGGGACGGAGATACGAATAAATTTTAACGCCGCTCCGCTGTTATTTTCTGCCGTTATCAAACCGCGATATCGCTGATAGATCCGGTTCTTAACGCGCCTCTCGGACCCAAGC